GGACACCAGAGCAAAGCCGTCGCCTGGGCGGCTTTGCTCGTTTGCCCGGGAGCAAAGCCGCCCAGGCGGCGGCTTTGCTCCAGTGTCCCTGGTCTGCTGAGGGGGGTCCAGCAGCTTTGCTGGACCTCCCCAGCAGACCAGGGAGACCGGGAGAAGCTTTTCTCGCCATGGAGGACACGGGTGGCGACCCGCTGCCCGTGAACTCCGGGGCGAGAAAAGCCCCGTTCGTAAGTGCAGATCCTACGTAAGTCGGATCCACGTAAGTCGGGGACTGCCTGTACTGAAATCACTGAAATTCCTTCTCATTATATTGTATTTCCTGAAAAGCAAATCACAGTTCAGAGATTTGTGTAATGTTCAGGCAGACTGTAAGAGAATGAACAAAGTCTACCAACAATTTGAATCACATGCTCTTATTCGTATCTGAAAGATCTATACAAACAACAGGGGAAATTATTAAGTCAAGTTATCCGTGAGTTTGAAGTTAAAGACAAGGCAAAGAGTTTGCAGGACTGGGACCTAAGAGCCTATCAAAAGGAAACAGTGAATCTGACAATATACAAAGAGTTGGAAGTGCACAAGGTGAGTAAAAGTATCTCTCTATATAAAAGAGTTTTTCCTGCAAGACAAGAGTGATGTCATCACATCACACTGCATCCCGCAGCCCCTCCCTTCCTTCTCCCCTTTCTCCAGTTTTCAGCTGCTGTGCAGCAACCTCCTTCCTCAGCAGCCGGAGGGAAGAGCACGGGGCTGTCAGACCCCAGGAGAGGGCCCCTCCCCCACCGGCAGTTGGGGGGGGGAAGAGTGTGGGTCCTACGAGGCCTCAGAGTGCTCCTCCCACCCAGCCACCGGGGATGAAGAGTACGGGGCCTACAAGGCCCCAGAGAGCTCTCATCCACTCCCTGGTCTGGAGACAGAGCCAGGCACAATCTGGCCTAGGCTCCCCTGAAAGAACCAGGGCAGGTGCGGGGGAAGGGACCAGCAGGGATGGGAGTGGGGGCAAAAACCAGGGCAGCCTCAGGGCCTGGGGGAAAAGCTGGGGCCAATGGCAGTGCAAGGGGGGGGAGGGTAAGAGCAGGGGTGTCCTTGTAGCCAGGGGAGAAGAGCTGGAGTGGACCCAGACCGTCCTTGGCCACAGGGAGAGGGAGAGCCTTGGCCCAGCCCAACCTCCCAGCAGCAGGAGAGGGGGGGAAACTAGCTTGGCTTCAGGGGGACCCAGTGGCTGGGGGAGGGGGAAGAGCTGGGACAGGCTATGACTGCCACGCCTCGGCCTGGCCCTCCCCGGCAGGTGGGGGGAGGGGGAAGAGAGCCAAGGCTGCCTACCCCGAGAGAGTGGGGGTTGGCAAGCATGGCGAGCATAGCAAACAGGGAGCAGCACCCCCTTGTTACATTTTATATATATAATAAACCCTTGTATCAGCATGAAGCACCCTCCCCTTCTCTCCCCCCCGGGCAATAAAATGAATGAGAAATAAATTGTGAGATCAAAACTTCAATTTATTAGCCAGGGCATTAATCATTATTCTCTCTCTGATACTTCGTGCTTTAGGTTTGTCTTGTCTTATACACTGTCTCTTGCACTAAAAATTAGGCTCCAATCCTGCAAACATTCACACACATTCTTAACTTGACTACCATGAGTAATCTCATTGATATTAATTGGTGTACTCATGGTAGTTAAGTTAAGAATGTGTGTGTTTGCAGGGTTGGGCCTTAGATGGTAGGAACTGTAGAATACTAGGACTGGAAGGGACTTTGAGAGGTCATCGAGTCCAGTCCCCATGCCCATATTTTCGTTATGTACGTATAAAGTACCTAGTGTATTCCCTGAATGAATCACTAGGAACCACTGTGATACAAATAAGTAATATTAATTGTAAAAACAGTTTTATATATAAATGAGCAATCTATTTACATTCAAAATTTAGTTATTTTAACAAGTGAAAACTGTCCACATTTATTAACTAGAGCCTTAGGTATTTCAAAAGGAAAGTGTCAAGGATGACAGACCCAACATTTAACCTATCATTAATATACTACTTTAAAAGGTTCTTTGGCTCCTGATGTTAAAAACACTATCAATTCCACAAAAAAGGTCTAAAAAATGACAACTCCATTGAGTAGTCCACTAACAAGAATTCAAGATAATCAGATTGTCTCTCAATTGATATGGATATTTTTCATGTGTCTATCCCATTCTTGTAAGCAAGTGGCGTGGCAGGATTCTGGTTAGAACAGTCCTTTGCATATTTAAGTCCTTTGACTAAACACAACTATATCAGATAGGCAGAGAGAAGAACAGGTAAAGAGAAGGGATGTGGGAAACGTACATATGTGCAAAACAAAACAAAGCTGATAGGCCTAACCCTTCTAGCCCTTGACAATGTTCAGAATTATGAACTACAGCATCAACTACCACAATGATCAATTCTAATATTAACTTGAGTTAACTGTACTTACTTTCTTTGCAAACAAAAAGGAGAATGATAAAATGTAGAAATCTGCATTTGATCACATAAGTCTCTTAACAACAATTGTGGAAGGCTGCATGACTGAGAAAATGAAAAGCACATAGGTCCTTTTCCATGAGAGAACACGATGCTGAGAGCTGCTCTGTCTCCCAGACTTGGGCTAGATATCAGTGGGAGTTGAGAGCACTTAGCTTCCTGAAGAAACTGCTTGGCAGGTCACAGAAGTTTATGATAAATTAATATCATTCACACCTGCCAGACAATCATTTATCCCATTTAATAACTATTGCTACATTGGATTAAATGTTAAGGACTGATAACCTAAAATAGGTGCAAAAGGTTGTGTGCCTTCAGACTACCAACAATGACTCTATTAGTATTAGCATTCAGAAATTCCTCAAGTATTGCAAACAGTAAACACATAGTCCATTTGTAGATGCTAGGTCTTTATTCAAAAGCTATTAACTGATGCAACTTTTTTTAGAGCTTAATAAATCCTTATATGGCATCATTTGCAGGCTACATTTCCCCCTGAAATTTCTGTTACGATACTTTTAGCACAATTTAGATGTCTGCTGTAAAATAAAAATGTTTTAATCATAAAACTGATCTTAAACCTTACCTTTTAGCAGAGGCAGAGGAGTTAATTCAATAGGCTTGCCCTGAGACCTAAACTGGGAGGAGCTTTGTGACCTCTTCTGTCTGGCTTTTCTGACGGACTTCCGAGAAAATCCGTCCACTTTATCCACTGACGGAGGAGTGGTTGGTACTGAGGACATATCCCTACTGAAGGGAAACACATATTATAAATACATTCCTAGTGGATGAAAACAGGTAAAGATGAAATGAGTTTGTCAAGAGCCAACTCCTTCCCCTCTTTCACATCCCTCCTAAAAATCCATTTGTGACTTTAAAGAGAAATGGTCAATCAGTTTACATATAGGCCTTATGAAATAGCTTCATTGTACAGATTTAACCTCTCTAGTCCAGAACTCTCTGGTCCAGAAACATCAGTTTTCCAGAATGATTGTAGTTAGCCGTATGTCCACTTTTTATGCATGTAGCCAAGTTTCCTGCAGTCTCAAAGTTTGTTCACGATCACCAGTCCTAATTCTCAGTGTTCTGTGCTGTTGCTTAGAAGACATTTAGAGTAAATTAGAGCTAACAGCCCAATAAGCAATAGAAGTGTTAGTAATGCTGCTAGACAATATTGACCTCCCATGATCTGGAAAATTCTCTGGTTCAGAACTGATCAGGTCCTGAGGGTGCCAGATTAATGAAGTTCAACCTGTAATATTATAATTCTTGTCTTCCTCTTCCCTATTTTGTAAATGACCCTCTCTTGTTACATTATGTCTAAATTTAGGCATTGATTCTGCAATTACATCCACATATGTAGATACCTGTGTATGCATGGAAACCATCTGATGTCAATGAAACTCCACAGAGGTCCAGGAATATACCTGTGTAGGCCATCGGAGGTATCAAAGCCTAAGATCGTATACTTTTTGGATCTCTCTTTTATTTGTTTTCACAAAGCACCATTGACACTTATAGGAGCTCAAAAATAACAATGAATTTTAATATTAAAAACACAACTATTTCCTAGGACAGTTAAAATAAATATGATGAAATAGCAATAAAATTAAGTTAACTGTCTATAAAGGTGTGTTTTGTGGAAACATTAAATTTCCTAAAATATACTACAATATTTTAAAACCAAGGAACATTCACTAAACTGGACTAGACTTAGGTTTGGCCTACACTAACAACTTAGACTGGTTAACTATGTTACTCAAGGTGTCAAAAATCCATCTCTCTGAACAATGCAGTTACAGTAATCTTACTCTGGAGTAAAAAGAGCTATATGAAAGGGGGGAATGGCCTACACCTGTCAACATAGCTAGCATCTCTCAGGAAGGTGGAGTGCCTACTCAGATGGGAGAAGCCATCAGGGTAGGTATCATCTTTGCTGAAGCACTACAGCAGCACAGCTGCATCATTGCAGCTGCACCACTGTCACCTTTTAAGCACAGATAAGCCCCTTTACTTGTCACTTACTTATTCGCCACTCTAAAAATATCCAGCTTTCATATTGCAAATCTCTTGGCACATTCCTTTTTCACATTCTAATATTTTGGGAGTATATTCCATGCTACTTCTGGAAAATTAAATACTAACATGGTTAATTCAAACAAATTCTTAATTTTTACCAGGCTTGCCTTCTTTGTCAAAAAAGTTATGCCACATTTTCTCAGTGAAGTGAAAAGAACATATTTAAGAAAAGACTTAGCCCCATATCCAAAAAACACTTACACAGCTGCATAACTTTAATCAGTCATATTAAGTGTGTGTAAATGTTTGCTGGATCAGGGCTTTAAAGAATGTTTTTGGAAGATTCTGAGAGCACTTGATTTCCACTGGCTCTTACTATCAAAAGGACTACTACTTGATGTTGCAATCTGCATTGTGCCTAGAAGTCCTTACTTTGTTAAAATATTTGGAGACTGATCTGATCCATAAACAATTTAAATCAACATTATTTGGATGTTTCTTCTTATGCAAAATACTTTGTATGATTTTTTAAATCATGTAAGTATGTTTGGAAAGACGGCGGTTGTTAAAAGAAACCCTCTCAACTTTAATATATGTAAAGTTATCACTTGCATATATAAACACATACAATCTACTGAAAATATGGAACACATAACAGCTTGAATAAATCAAGAGGAATCCCTTGATATTGGACAGTGAAGCTGGCATTATTTTAAAAAATTCTCATTTCATCAACTTAATATTTCCTCAGGTGTGACTTCATTATCATTCCAAATAATACAGACTACATTTATTGGACTAGGAGTAACACACTCCTCTACTTAAAACAGATTTTATTTACCAATTGAAACCGATGCCAACATCACCATGGCATCAAGGCCCCATGCAAGATTCATGGTACAGTCAGACAAACTATATGGAGAAAGGGTAATATACTTCCACTTCAACAAATCAATTTGTGATTCTTAAGTAAGAGGAGAGAAGAGTCTCTCAAAAGACATAAAACACAGAAAGTTACCTGTTATGTCAGCAGAACTCTAGAAATATCAACAAAAAAATGCCACTTAGATGCTGGATTTGTTTGCCCTATTTCACCTCCTCAAAAAAATAAATGTTTTCATCTCCTTGTCACACATAACCATTAAAAAGTCTAACAATTTATCCAGAAATATCTGTACACCTTCTCAAAATGTAATTGTTAACAACATTAATTGACAAAGACTAAAGCAGACCACTTAAACTGCAGGATCATGGTGTCAGCAAGAAGCTTCACCCACACTTCTCTGCTGTATATTTAGTAACAGTTTCTCTCACCTGATTTATAAATTATTAAAAACTCATTCTAATTCAGTAAGACTAACCAGCCCTAACGACATTAGGTAAACAAATGGATGCTTTTTCTACATTTCTATATGATCATTTAAATACCCAGAAAACCACTTCTGGTTTATTTCCGTGGGAAGGAAAAAAACGAGGTTATTTACTGAGTGCCGCACAAGTGGTGGATAACTGCACTGACAGCTAGAGCTTTCTCAATTCGAACGTGTTTATTTATAACCCGGGCATTTTTTTAAGTCTTTTGGTAAATACACAGCCACGCACGCTAGAGACTGTCACCGCTGGGGAAAACAATACGAGGAAATGCGAGCGAATGTAAAAATACCGATGGATGTCACCGCAAGCGGTCGGGGGAGGGGGGGCAAGCGCCTCTGCTAAGCGCTCAGTGAAAGCAGGGGTGCAATTAGCTGCATGCAGAGGGGCGCTATTGGATGTCATTTCCACACACCAGGGATAAGTAACATCGCTGGGACTGTCACCGCTGGGGAAAACAATACGAGGAAATGCGAGCGAATGTAAAAATACCGATGGATGTCACCGCAAGCGGTCGGGGGAGGGGGGGCAAGCGCCTCTGCTAAGCGCTCAGTGAAAGCAGGGGTGCAATTAGCTGCATGCAGAGGGGCGCTATTGGATGTCATTTCCACACACCAGGGATAAGTAACATCGCTGGACTGGGTCCTTTGCCCCCTGCCGTGATCCCCACCTTCGCTAGCGCTCCCCGATCCGCCCGCCCCCCCCCCCCCCCCCCACCCCCCCCGCCGCCGCGC